CAGTCGTGGATTATAATTTATAAACAATAGACCTAGTCGCACGATACGTAGCGGCTAGTCAAATTTGTGGAATTAGCACCTCTTTGTTTGTAAGTAAATACTTTCTGCGATAGACCATGGAACTATAAACCCCTTTTTTTATAGTTCCATGGATAGACAGTCTTTAGATTGAAAGCTAAAATTATTTCAAAATCAATTCCACCTCGATATAACATGGTCAAATCGGAGTTCACGATCAGTTCACGCTACTCAAGAAAAAAACGTGTTTATTGCGTTATTTGGTAAAATGCATTTGAACTGTTATCATTGCGAATCATGTAAAAACTCTTCTTTCAAGACCTAATTTACCTTTTAAAAATTGCAAATCACCTATTTCGAAAGCTATCATGCAGTTGTCAATTGAAATCGATGCCAACACATCGTGCTACGACATCGCTTTACTTCCGCAATGTAATCTTTATGATCACTACCATTCGGAAAACTTCGGGTTCTACCGGCATTACCATGCGGCATTTTGATTGGTTAATGGCATTCTTGACCCATCGGGTCAAAGGACACATGCTAATGTTTCACAAACATCATGGCGGGTCTGGTTTTTTTTACCGAAGTGATCAAAAATAATCGCTCCCGATAAAAATAAGTCGGATTTTACTTACATTTCATATCAAAAAAAAAAGTTAAATTTGTTGAGGAATTATTGCTATAACTGGTGTATAACATGGCCAAGTATGTTATGTCACGTCGTAACTTTGATGATCGTTTTGAAGCTTTATTTGTTCGCTCATTACTGTAATTGTAAACATTTTAGAAGTTGATGGTACGAATAATAAATTACAACAATACGTCAATTAATTACGTGATCGATTTTTTGAAGGAGAATGTTTTTGGAGTGAATAAAATTATGAGATTCGTGAACGTAAATCTGGCTTAACGTTTTGAATGCGTTTCCTTCAACGTTTTACAAAACAATTAAATTGCAACAATAATTTATTTGTGTTTGTTTTTAGTCTGCAGCATTTGTATTTCGAGAATGTTTCAAACTCTTCTAAATTGTGAAACATAATGTGTTGATTCCATTAAAAAAAATATTTGCCCTGTGACTGAGCTCACTAATATTCATAATTGTAAATAAGTTCTGTTAATCAATGAAGGAAAGATATGTAAATGATATGCAAATTATTATGCAAATTAGCCCCGGCGCTATGCATTTTTTCTGGGGAGAACCCTGCTCAAATGTCACTAATATAAATTTGTTCATTTATCAGGTTTGACTAACAAGTGAAATGCAGTGCTAAATGATAAAGCTCTCTTGCAAACAGGAAAATGTTTCCCCATCAATATTGGTAAGTGTATGTTTAATTGCTGTCGTACTTGATACCACCGCTCATTTGTGATATTTTAAACTCTTGCAAAGTTTAATGATGAATATTTTTACCGCCCCAGGCTGATATAATTTATGAATGATTGGTTTCCTGAAGAACTTTGCTTTTTCAAATCGTTTACACCACCAGACAAAAACATACAAGTTTGTCACAGTTGGTAATTTCTTTTTGTAGGGTCCATTCCTGGCTGAGACAATGTACATACAAGGTAAGCAAGTGGTGGTGTATTGGAATTGTATTAGCAAAAACAAAATGTGGTTAGTAACTGCACTGGTGTAAAACAGATCGCGGTTAGGAAAATTCACAACCATTAGCAGAAAGTTGTTTTAAAATTGTGCATGATACTAGATGCATATATAAATGAAGTGGTACATCCTAATGCTGAAGACTGCTGCTAGTGTGATAATTTGTAGACTTGCCTTGAAGTGGTCTTGACAATCTGTAGACATTTGAAAATATCTTGCCCTTAACTGTCCTCCAGTTCTTGGCAATACGACACCAATATTGTGTTAATATTGTATGTATGGAGGTAGATAAATTGAGATGCTTCTTCGGTGCTAGAGTGGTAGACAACTACTGTATACTTTAGAACTATCCTCAGCATACTCAACATGTGTTATCTATATTGTGCGAATCATGGCAACAATGTTTTACAATTATTGTATATATTACAAAGTCGGTGTTCTCCCCAGGCCATTTTAGCATCGCGGCCGCCGGCGCTATTCATTCTTCCCCGGCGCTATTGACTCGGGCGTCGCGATGTGATTACCACCATACTAGACAGACAGACCTGTTTTACTTCCTGCACATGTTGAGGCGTTCATTACTGTCAAACACAAGTCGATACTATCTGAGAGACGACGTAATTAACACTTCTGTCGGTCGGTGCTTCTTTGGCACTCCTGGGCGGAACTCCCGTAGCCACATGGTGGCTGTTCACATATACCCGTTTTCAAAGGCAAAACCCTTCACACGATTTAAAAGAAAGGGTACATTATGAATTATCTGAATTCTTTTACAATGATTTTTAAAAATAAAGAGTTGATGTTCGTCAGTGATCAGATTGTACCTTGCCTTCGCATGGTAAACGCGCTCTCGAGATCACCAAATATGCAGAAAGGAAATCAGTGTCTGCGTCCTGACCACTAATTATGGTTCACGTCGTCTAGAAAGTTAAAAAAAGACAGGTTTTGACAAGTCATGGTTAACATCATATGAATGGTTACGCCAAACTCCAGAAAAAAAATCTTATAATCAAGTCTTTCGGAGGAATGACTGCGTAAACAAGCAAATGGGGTTAAAGGTCTGGCTTTGTGTTTTCAATAGATTCTTTCGGCGACCATTTGGTTTTTCGCTTCTATTTATTTTCATTTTTCGATCACAAATGATTTATAAGGATTTTTGGCAACAGGTATGTTGTGTTTTATGTGAGGCAGCAAATATATGGGCTAGCATCACAAAGATATCATCATGATCTATGTTGGATCTAATACACTTGCTGTAAATAAATGTTCACTTATGTGAATAATATTATACCATCAGAAAAAATTGTGTTGTGTATATGCAACTTGAAATAGAATATACTAATTTATGCAAATAAGCCCCGTACCTATCTTTTTTTTTTCTGGTGTGAACACTGCAAAAAGTTGCATCAAATTGTACCTGAAACCTTAATTGGCCGAAATTTTGTACATGACAAATTTAAGAATACAATACTAATTATGTTTTTGCAGGGCTACAGTACAGTTGGACTGTCAAAGGCAATTTACAGATTACACAATTCTGCTAACTGGTATGTTTATACATTTTATGTTCTTGACAATGCAATGTTTCTATGAAGAGTACATTACCGCCCCAGGCTGATATTAAATGAATGATTGGATTTCTGAGAAGCCTTGCATTGTCATTCTCTTCCACTGGAGCAAGTGGTACTCAACCTTAATGTGAAACTGTACTTTTAGGGGTTTGATCACTCGTCCACATGAAAAGCTCAGAAAGGCTAATTATCACTCTCTAATTCAGAATTTTGAGATTTCAAATGGCACAGGTCTCCTAATTACTAGTGTTCAAAAGTCATTTCTTGGTGTCAGGTAATTTTCGAAAGGTACAGGCCGGCGTGTACATTTTTAAATCAGATTTTGTTTCGTGCTGCATTTTAATAGTGTTCTAAACAATAACTCGTTTTCAAGACGGAATGAAGTCTTTCTGTTACTGTTGCCATTTTGGTATTTGAATCGTCGCACCTGTACTATACCAATTGCGGTAATATTACGTTGCGTGTGACAAATATCTATAAGCTTCATTTGTATAACTTTTATAAGATCAAATTTCACAGACTTTTTTTTTGCACAAGCTTCTAAACCAATAAATAAGTTTGACTGTACAATTCTATTACAATAATATTTTAGTGTTTTACCAATTATATTTTGCACTTTCAAATAGATCTCAAATACCATGTTTGCCCAAAGCCAAAGAAATGCCAATAGAATGAAAATCATTTTCTCTTGGTTAAATATCAGTATCATCCAGTATTTGAGCCTGAATATTAGATTTGTTATTGTAGGCTTGATCAAACTGAATGGGTTAACCTTGAATAAAACTGGTACAGGTATTCAGTACAAACTGACACAAGAATGGAATATTGCAAGTTGATTTGTCTTGTGGCTTTCTATTTAAACAAGTTTCATTGAGAAACATGAAAAGCTTTTTAAACTCGTTTCTACAAGATTTCCACAATTGCTCTGAACAATGCTATTTTTCTTTTATTTAACCTAGGTCTTAATAACTGCCAGTTGTAAGCAGAGATGATATTCTGTCCATGGAGGAATACGGTTATCAAAATGGCAACCATGTATGCTTAAAAAGTTGACACTTTATCTGCCGCTTCTTTCTGTGGCAAATACACAATTCTACCGTACATGTGAACTATGGCAGTGCTGCTGCATGTATATCAAATAATCTATACACCAGTTTCAAATAAATAAATAATGCAATAAATTTAATTTTATGAGTGTTAAATAGTTTTATTGTTGCTGCCATGCAGACCCCCTCCCCCCAAATTTCCAAACTACTGTGGAATATATTTTTGCTGAAAAAGGTGTTTTGTATGGAATTTTCATTTTTTTTAAGTGAAATATAGGGGGGGGGGTGTATTAGCTGGGTTTTATTTTCACATAATCGTCCCTTCAGAGAAAATAAAGTATTCTACAGTAATTTGCTAAAAACTTTTACAAACTATTGCCTAGATGCCAATGATAGTGTCCCAACATTTGTGTTGGGTCATCTCTTGCTTTGTATCGCACTTCCCAATTTTGAAATGAACTCCAGTTGTTTGCAACTTGGGAATGAATGAAATATTCTTTATAAATGTGGCATGGGATAGTGAATACAAACTCCCCCCCCCCCCCCCCCAATCTTTGTCACTGTTGCATCTTTGATGTGTTGTCTGTGACCTTTATGAAGGGGAGGGGGCGATTTATACAATGTAAAAATGTTGCCTTCTAATGCTCTGGGTAAATGTGTGGGTGGAAATTTTTAACTTGCTGTAGCTTTGTACACGTTTATACCAGGATTTCACAGATCTGTCAGGTTCTTGATTGAAATGTATGTGATTGAAGTTATAAAACTGGTTGTTGACTCCAGTGTGTGAAGCACAAAAGCGAGTCTTTGCTGTTAGTGTGTCTGTCTGTTCCACTAATATCTCAAGAACCATACATCAGTTTTTGATGAAACTTTGTGCATAGATGCTCTGGGCCAATGCGCAGATTTGATTAGGTTTTGGTAAAAATCCATGCATATTAATTACCTAATTTGTATGATAATTAGCTGATTTTTAGCTGTTCCACTGATATCTAACGAACCACTCATTAGATTGATGAAACTTGGCACACAGATGCTCCAAACTAATGTGCAGGTTTGATTAGTTTTGGGTAAAAATCTGCAATATTAATTACCTAATTTGCATAATGATTAATCAATTTTCAGCTTTTCCACTGATATCTCTAGTACTAATCATCACATTTCAATAAAACTTGGTACATAGATGTCATAGAACACTGCAGACCTGATAGTTTTTAGGGTAATAAGAGTACATATTACCTAATTTGCATAATATCAGCTTTTGATATATCAAGTAGTAATCATATTTCAATTAGACTTGCTACATAGATCTTCTAGGATTATGCAGAGATCCGATTAGTTTTAATTGGATATAATTACCTAATTTGCATAATCTTCCACTGATATATAAAGAACCACAAATTGGATTTTAATGAAACTTTTAAAGAGAACTATGCAGAAACCCAATTAGTTTTTGGTAAATATTTGTTTATTAATCACATAATTAGCACTGGTATCTCAGTTACTGATCATCAAATTTGAGTAAAATTTGGTACATAAATGCTCTAGGACAATAGACGGGCCTGATTAATTTTGGGTTAAAATTTGTTCATATTAATTCTCTAGTTAGCATAATAATTCATAATTTTTTTTGTTCTGTTTGTATTAGTTACCTGATTTACATGATTAGTTTTCAGCTTTTCCATCAATATCTCGTGTACAAGTAATTTTGAATTAATTAATGTCTTCAATACTCTCGGCACACGGGAGTTCTTTCTAAGCTTTCTTTGATTTTAGCATTTTCATGTCTGCCATGTAAAGTGAAAACGTTTAGTTGTGGGTAGCCCACTCTGCATTTGCTTAGCCCAATTAACGGCTACACTGCTAGCACTGAAAATAATTTTTACATCTAAAAAATGTATTGAAGAGTTTTCTGATACAGCAGTCGCACTCGTTGCTAAATTTAATAGACTCTTGCATGTACTGATTCGCCTAGACAGTTGCAGATGCCCGTTCTTCAAGGTACAATGTTTGCCTCTTTTGGGTTGAATATTTCTTTTCAGGTTTCATCCCATTAGAATACCATGGTATTTAAAGGTGATGCTCATCGCGCTGTGCATGTGCCACGTTTGTGTTGATAAACATTTATTTTCTCACAATCCAATATACTCTTCCAATGGTTTTGACCTGGGCACAACTTCACTAATTACTGCTGGGACTCCTTTGATACCTTCCAATCACCTAAAACAATACCTACTTAAAGCTTGGTAACATTGCAGTTTGTACTCGTTGATCTGCACAACAGTCAAAGCTGCAATCTTTATAGGAGACTTGTGCATGTGTGGTGTGGTGTGATGACTATGTCCCTTTAACACAGTCGGGTCCCCTTCGTACAACACTCTGTATCACCGTGTGTCCAAATTAGAGATCTGGCATGACTAATATGTAAAGTGAAGTTGAACGTCTAATGTAGGAAGTCTCTCAGAGTATGCCCTATTCTGGAGCTACAGGCACATTTAAGGTCTCATGCCACTAATCAACCAATGGCTGCTCGTATTTAAATGCCTAGCAAGAACCAATGAAATTTTTTAAATATTTTTTTTCTCAGGTGCTCCCTGTTTGAGGGCGTAATCACCTGGGTCAGAGGTGAGACCAACATGTCTTTTGTTTACTACTTAGCGGCTGTGTACCTGTGGGTTTATTCTGTGTGTATTTGGATGTTCTAATCTTGGTGTTTTTCCAGTTTTGCAAGAGTTTGAGCTGGCCAACATGTTAGTTTTTTTCATATGGTTGATTACTGACATGTTGATTACCCATTTTTGAGCCATATTTTCAACTTTCTTCGTCATTTTCATATAGCAATCTCGTCTATGGAAATTCAATCAGTGGTATGAGCCCTTAAAAGTCTGCCTGCAGTAAGAGTTGTGGTAATTCCACCACACGGTTTTGAGTGGACCAGTGACAAGCAAGACGTCTTAGTACTCGGCAATCTGCATATGAATAAAACATGTAGTATACAATCTGCATATGAATGCAACTGTAGTGGTTTACAATCTGCATAGACTACGACTGTCACAGTAACGGTTTACAATCTGTATATGAAAACTGTTACACAGTAGTGGTTTACAATCTGCGTAAAATTTACAGTAGTAGCTCGCGACTTGGTAACTAGGTGGATTGTGGGCGTCAGTGCACTGAACAATAATGCTGCACAACGATTAAATACCCTCTCCAAAAACACATCTAACACCAAGGTACGTCCGTATAAATCGTATAATTTATGGTATTACAGTGGTATAAATATGTGGACAGTTTTTGTAAATTAGGTGACTGGCGCCCTCAATGTGATTAAATAGTGTTCTCTTTTTTTATTACAAGAAATGATTGCCATATCACATGTGCATTTGAAATTGCACATCGCATAGACATGCCATGATTTGTATGTGAAATGATTCCAATTCCTTATATGGTGTTTAAATTACTAAGAATGGAGTGCACCATGGTATGGTCTGATTATTTTATTATTGATTGCCATATTGAATAAGTACTACTGATTGAGTTAACCACGTGTGCCAGTTTTAAACCAGACATGTCAGAGTATGTTAAGAGTGCAATAAATTGTCCCACACAATATGACTATATATAGATGACATGGTCGTATAGGTGGAATATAAACTATAAATCCACGTTATACGTCTGAATGGGGATTTCTATGTAACGCCTAAGCGTGACGAAACGACCACTTAGCATAGTCACATTAGCGAAACGACCACTTAGCGTAGTCACAATTGGTGATTACTGTGAGTGTAAAGTAATAAAATTATGATTTTATGATAGAGGGACAGCATCGCAAATATGCATAATTGGGGCATTTTAATGTGTAATTTTTTTCCAGCAGAAACGTTTTACTCGACAAATTGCTAAAAAAGATAATCTATGAACTTGTGCTCAAATTTCAATAAAATAAATTCTTTTTCGATTTTGATATCAACGACAGTACCAGGATATGTGACCTTTTAACGTCATGAAAGTGACCTTCTTCGATTGAAATGTGTTGATATTTGTCATGTTTCCACTGCCAGATATAAATTGTCTTCTTTGTTGGATATAGCATGGGTGTAGACAGGACAAGACATCAAGAGAGAAAACGTACTCTTTCGTTTACATTTGCTGGCAATTTGGTATAACGTCTTGTTTCAATCCTTAATGCATGGTTTCATTCCCATTTGTATGACCTACAAAAAACATCACAAAATGACCATGTAATCTTTTGATTCATGGCTTGATGATGTTTGCATCTGTGGTTTCCTTTCACCCGTGAACAAACGGATAGATAGACTCTTATCGTATTCACATCTGTTTTGGTTTTCCTTTACTCGGGCGTAGTAGAACAACAGATGCTTACGTTTTTAATTACCGGCCGCAACTTACGCAGAGAACACGGTCTGTGGAGGCGGGGGATTAGATTTACATCTGAAGCAGCTGTTCTTAGGCCAATGTTAGGCCAAATACTTGATAAGGCTATAAAAGTTACATAATAGGTCCATCAAATAGGTTACCAATAGTTTAATTGGTGTGCATAATTTATATCTTGTTCACATCTGTTTTTGTGTTCCTGTCGCCGGCGTAAGAGAAAAAACAGGTTGACTATTTTTGTGCAACCTGAAGTGAACAATCGAAAATCTTTGTTATTTTGTTTTTCACTTTTACAGATGTCATTGTTTGTATATTATATATCTGTGTTGAATCTTTTTGGAAATACAAATTTCAATCAATGGTTAATAAATATAGAATTATAATTAAAAAATAGCAAGTGTAAAACTTTAGATAACTAATAAATAAAAAAGGGCGTATTAATTTTTTGCAATGCTGCAAATGTATAAAAATGTAGTAGCTAATATTTGGTAATTGTTATCTTAAGTGACTATGAAAAATAGCTAGACGTTTAATATTTGAATGTTATTCGTTGTCATGAACTTGTAAGTATTCCTTACTAATGCAGGTGATCACTCGAGATGCTTCGCTCGTGAAAGTACGGCCGCAGGATACACCGCATCACTCGTGAAAATAACTTCCATACGCAACGAAAGCCACGGGGAAGGTGTGGGGTTCTGTCATAATACTCGGTGTGATACTGGTGCCTTTGGGTCTGCGTATTTGCCTATTTCTTTTTACCTAATTATTTCTGTGTTAGTTGATGGAAAAATATTTTCTTCCAAGAAATTATTATATTCGTAATGAAAGTGTAATCATTTGGTGAAAGCATACAAAGCTTTCATAGCTTTTTTCAACTGATATTTGTCATACTGCCTTGACATTTGATGTCATCAAATAAACTCACATAGGTGTAACTACTTACACAACCGAAGGATTATTGTCATGTAGTAACACTTCTGTCTAAGTGACCCTAAATAACAACTCTTGTTTTTTTTTATAAATTTATTTCACGTTTCAATTGTTTGCAATATGTGTGAAGTTTATTGATTAAATATTGCGATAATGCTTTTTCTTGAAATCATAATTAGGTCAGCTGCGTGGAGTGGTGATGTAATTCGTCATTCAAAATATCTGGTCTTATTTTAATCATTGATATATAGAATAAATAATATTGACTGTAATCACACACTCTTGTTTTTTCCTAACTTAATACATGTAGTTGCATTATTTTTTGTATACATATGTTCGATCATTTTAAATTATTTTCCAACAACTTTTGCTTTCTATACATTTTATAAACCAATCCTGTTTTCCAAATCCTGTCAAAGGCCTCGCTGAAATCAACAAAACAAGTATTCCGGTAAATCTGTTATATTTTTAGATAGCCTGAATTATTATTTTTGATCAGTAGTGGGATATTCAATTCTGAACCATGGTTAATAATTATTGAACTATTTATTTTACCTGCACAGTCTGTTACTCGTATTGGCCATATCTGTTTGGTTCATTGTTATTCTTTGTTGTACAACTGTGTAATCCTCAGTTTAATACCAAATTGAACAGTTTTATAAGAAAGTTAGAGCAGAATTTAATTAATTCAGGGCAATATGTCAAAACCTGGCGACTTTAGATTTATCTAAACTGATTACTTTTCAAACTTTGTCTTGCATCATATCTTCATTCATAAGATTATAATTTTCACATCTTCTTTTCTAATGTTTCCATGTCTAATTGTTTATATTTTTTCTACAAGGTATAAATAGGTTTGACATTATTTGTATTAAATTCTTTCATTTGTTTTTTTGGAAAACATTTTTTTTTTCAGTTTCTACAACATATTGTCATATTAACACTGACAATTAATTTCATTTCCAACTACTTGAAATGACATAAAGTTGTGCCTTAGATTATAAAGGTATTTATAAAAAAATGTAAATACCGATCATCAACTCCCATTCAAACTCATCAGCTCCCATTCAAAT